TTCTCCCAGGGCCCCTCCCGGACCCGTTCCAAGACCACTCAGAAATTCACATGCCCACCGGAAGCGAATCCCAACGGCACGGAGGGATTTTTGAAGGATTTTGGAGATCCCCAAAAACCACAAAATCTGCATCATGAGCACGGACCGTTTTGAAAACTAGCCCCAAGGCCCCTCTTGGGGTAGGGCTGAGAAAAATCTAGAGTTCATGAAAGGTCATTGGGCGCATGGGAGGCCAAAATTGGAGAAACGGGACCCCAATAATGCTGATGATGCTATGCTGATGATGCTGGCCAAGAGGGCCAGCATCATCAGCATCATTGTGGTCCCGTTTTTCCTTCTGCCAGGCTTTTAGGCTGCCTGAGCCCACTGGGCCAAGCCTGATGGGGTTCCTAGGGGTTAACCTTGCCATGTATGTTTTGTTTTGGGGGGGTTTGACCTCGCCACTTAGGTTTTGCTTGGGGGGGGCTAAGTTTGGCTTTTGGGTTCTCCTTATGCGGGGATTAGCCTTGCCATTTGGGTTTTGCTTATGGGGAGGCTAACCTTGCCATTTGGGTTTTGGTTATGGGGGGTCAACGCTGCCCTTTGGTTGGGGGGGGTTAGGTTAACCTTGCCCAAACAGACCCCATGATGCTCATGATGCTGGCTCATGGGGGGCTGCCGGAGGGCGGCAGGGCCGGCCCCTGCCGCAAGGCTTAAAATCCAGCCTGGCCGTCGTGGTTTAGTGCGGATGCACGCATAGCGAAGCTATGCTTATACGGGGTGATGGCAGTACCGCCGACCCTTGTGGTTTTGGGGATCAAAATTTCAAGTGAAGTTTGAACAGGTTTTGAGGCTTTCCCCCCCGCTACTGAGGATTTGGGGCAATTTTTTTCGGGTCAGCAACATCAGCACAATTAGGCCTTCGTTTCTCACATCTGGACACTTCAATATACCTAAGGTTTTGGAGGGTGTTGAAACCTCATATGTGCGGTGTCCAGAAGGAAATTGGGGGCCCCGATGGGGCTTCTGGACCCATAAAAGCACCATAAGCCCCAGCAAAACGCTGTTGGTAGCACCTGTACGACATGACAAACATAAAAAAGGCATGACTTGCATTGCCCAGGCCAAACCCAACAAACTGTGCATATTTTTTTTGGTGTGCTTTGCTCGTATGTCCAGCATTTTTGTGGCTCCTGACCTGGGATTTTGCACCCCTTTATGATTATCAAAAGCGTTAGACCGTTAGATGTTGCCTTTTTTTTGAAAAAAGGTACTTGCAGGCTAAAACATGGTCAGCCTGTGCAAAGAACTGTTTTTGATGGCTTTTCCTCGGTTTGGACCCCTCCTGGTCCCCATTCAGGCAAAATGGGATCCCGATTGTGCTGATGATTCTTCGTACAGGAACATCATCAGCACAATGGAGACCCCATTGTGGGTCGTTTTTCAGTTACACTAGAGAGAACAGGACCTTCCAAACCTACAGAAAACATCCCAGGTAACAAGGACATCCTTTTTTCATATACCTCTCCCGATCAGGAGCATCAGCAAGGCTGGGGTGGGCTTGGCTTGGTTTTCACATGATGGCTGCGTGGGCAGGGCGGCAGCGGCCAGGTGCCGCCAGACCCTAAATAAAAATCAGGCAACGCCCTCGCGTTTAGCCGCCAGGCCATGGCTCCTGGTGTTGCCAATGAGCAGGTGCCAGTGCCGCTGACCCTGCATCATTGGACTTCCGTTTCTCCATGAGGCGCTCCTGGACCCCACCCCCACACCAAGCTCAAATTTACATGCATTCCGTAAGTTTTGAAAGATTTTCGCGCGACCCCCCCCCAAATCATGAGCACGGTCGTTTTGTAAAACTACCCCCCCGGGCACCAATTTTTGCAAGCTGGAGCGGGCACTGGAAGCCCAATTATGCTGATGATGTTGGCCCCCCTGGCCAGCATCACTGGGGCTCTGCGTCACCAATTTGGAGGTATCAGGCTGCGGTATGGACCTGAGGCAGTCCGGATGCCGGCTTTACAGCGGCCATTTTGTTGTTGTTGTTGTTGTTGTTGCTGCTGCTGCTGCTGCTGCTGCTGTTGTTGTTGTGTGTGTTTTCTGATGGCGTTTGGCATCATGCCATAGGCGTTGCCTCAGAGCTTGCTTGTTGGCTTTGCGGATTTTGTTATCAATCAAGAGCTGAACCACTGACACTCCCCCCTCATGATGCCTGCGTTGCCCGCCCCTGGGCGCAGCCCCTCAAATTTGCGCATGCTTGAAAATCTGGCCTATGGTAGAACATATACTGCAAGTTGCAGTAGTTTTAGCTTGCGTAGAGGCTACAGATACTGTAAATTGCAGCAAGCCTAGAAGCAGCAGATACTGTGAATTACAACTTTTGGAGAGTCTCGGCGTTGGGGGGGATTAAGGGTGCACGGCCACCTGCCCCACTTGACCCACTTGACCCACTTGCCCCACTTCTTCCTCATAGAACGAAGCCCTGCCCCACTTGCCCGACTTGTCCCACTTGCCCTACTTCTCTCCTCATAATGTGGCCCCCTCAACTCCTGCTTCGGAGGCTCGGGCAAGTGGGACGAGTGGGGCAAGTGTGGCAAGTGGGGCAAGTGGGTCAAGTGGGGCAAGTGGGACGGGGCAAGTGGGACAGACGCCTTTAATGTTCCAACTCCTTCGGTTGCAATGATCTTTTAGAGGTTCTTAAAGCTTGCAGATACTGTAACTTACAGCATTCGAGCTCATGTAGAGCTTTCAGGTATTGTGAGCTACGGCATTTGGAGCATCTGAAAGCTTGCGGATATTGTAAGTTATAGCATCTGGAGCTCTTTCGGGCTTATGGATGCTGTAAATTACAGCACGCCAGCTCTGCATGTTCTGGAGCTTGCCGATGTCTGCTGTAAGTTAAAGCGTTCGGAGCTTTGCAAAGAACATAGACACCGCGAATGGCAGCATTTAGAAAGCTTTCAGTCACGCTGTTGGATGGCTTGAAAAAAGAGGAGGGGTTGGGGGGGGGGGGGCAGCCCCAAACAATATGATCTGCAGAATCCTCCCGTACCCTCTCTTACAACAAAACATGAGGCACGGTCTAAATTTCTTGCGTGGGGTTTGCACATTCGATTTTGGTGACTGGCCTATCGTTTTCCAAGCTTTGGTGGTGGGCCGTTTTTCTCTCTTTGTCAGTACAAGTATAGTACTCGAAGGGCCGTCTCAGGCAACCACATGAACTTTCGTCACTGGTAATACAACTTCAGGACTGGAAGGGCCATCTCCGGCAACCGAATAGATGTTCGTCCTCTGGAAATACAACTTTAATACTGGAAGGGCCGTCTCCGGCAACCGGATGGTTTTCGTTCTCTAATAGCACAACTTCAATACCAGAATTGTTTTTGGGAATTTCGATTTTGGTGAGTGGCCTATTGTTTTCCAACCCAAAGTGTTGCTTCCAAGTCTTCGTGTCGCTCCCCTTATAGCCCTAAACTGCGATACGAAAGACCGTGCTTCACATGGTGATGAAATGATACTTCGTTTTTACCCCCACTTGTGAACAAAATCATCCGCACAACTTTCCTTTACTGCAAACATGTTGATGACATGGTGTTTCTTTTTACCACCAAGGCGATCTTTCTTGTCTTCTTTCCCTTATGTCTGTGCCTACTTTTTGAGTTTTCTTTCTTTCTTTCGCTCTTTCTTTCTCTTGTCGCGCGCATTGTTCTGCAATTTGTTCTCCACTGCAGCAGGCTCAGGGAGGCTGAGAGGCCCTAGGCCCTGGGAGGCTTGGAGAACCTGAATGTTTATTGATCCCTTATCAATTTGTTTGGTCCCTTATCTAATTTCGGTTTGATCCCTTATCGTTTTTTGCTGCCTGTCCCCCGGAAGAGCACTCCTTGTACTTGGAGCGCAGCCTCAGCGCGGCAGTCATGTCCACCTCCTGCAGGCTTCTCTCCAGCCCTTCCTAGGAACCAGTACCGCGGAGGCATGGCATGCAAGGGCAGCCTGGAACGTGGACAGCAGCGCCGCGGTGTTCTGTGTCTCCTCATTCGCCGTGAGAGCTTCTCATCGCAGTCCACCGAAAGCTTCTGGGGACCCAGCTTTAAGTCGCTTCATGACTCGCTGCCGGACAAAGGACACCGGCACCCGTCTCTCAGTACAGCCCTGACAGGGCGCAGCGATCAGCGAGAGGACACGCTGTCCAGTGATCAAAGCCTCCCCCACAGTCACCACAGCCGGCGCAGAACCAACTGATGGCGAAGCTGCAGGCGCCTAAGCCAAGCACAGGCCACTGCAGAGTTGGTGCACAGGGAACGCTGAAGTGCCAGCCTCTGTCGGCAGGCCCAGCCGCTCAGCAGCCAAGCGTGCAAATGTGGCTCGGAGACCTTTTTCAGCGATTTCGCGATTTGGCTTCTCCCTTTTGCTAGCAAACATCATCTGAATCTGGATATGCTCGAGCACGCTTGGGTCCAGCCGGCTTCACTCCCAAGAAATTGACAGCAGCCGATGTTTTTCATGATTCGCCCACCGGCTCTGGTCGATGTCTGCTTCTCTACGTAAGGCTGCCCGCAACTAATGAGCTTGATATTAATACTTTTCAGCTGCACGCGGCCCCCAAACACCCGGCACAAATACAACCTTCCATGGTGCAAGGGTTTAGGGCTAGGGGCTGTCATTGCTGTATGCAGGAACAGTATCCTGGCGTGGGGAAAACATGGGACTTTTCATGTTTAAGTTGCACTAGCATGGTGCGCGTGTGATGTGTGGCGTGTGTGTTGTGCAAGTGTGTGAGTGTGTGCTTGTGGCCTTGTGTTTTTGCTTGTGCCCTTTCCGTACGGGAAGGCTTTGGGAGCATGCAGATTAGGTTTCGGGGTACACAGTGAGGATGAGATCAAGCTCTGATCCTTGGCTGTGCCGCCCGTACCCGTCGCATAGCGCTGACACAATACACTCTACACCGGCCGCTGAAAGCAGAGACCCAAAAGTGCTGAAGGCATAAGCGGGTGGACCCTCATCAATGAAATGAACTTGACCCACTTCACTGCCCTACAAGCACGAAGAAAAAGAACCTGAAATCCACGTGCTTCGGTGTACCGCCAAGGCACCCAACCCTCAAACATTGTTCAGTTGAACTGCGCCACATGGACCCAAATTGCGCTGACCGCTAGTTGGAAGCTAGCGAAAAGCTGGTCTAAGAGATCTCGAATCAAAGCAGCACGCAGTTTTCAAAGTCACAGTAAGGGCTGCACCGGAGGATGCACGCACCTTGCCACACGGCACTTCAGGATTCGTCGAGTCAAACGCAGGCGCCAAAGTCCTCTGGGGGCCTGCAGCGACTGCAGCGGAAGTACGGCCTTGGCAGCTGTCAAGAG